TGCTGATTTGGCTTTCATGTACGTCAAACTTTCAGAGAGGGAATTACTCCTGGCATTTCAGGCGGGCATTAGACTCAACGACAAGTAGGAGCAGGGGGGAAATGGTCGTGACTGGGTCGAATTTCAGATTTGCGAAGACGTTCTCTAAGACGCTCATCGCGATGCAGGATCATGTTGCGAAAAAGAAGGGAAAGTTCATGTCGAGCCATGGTAGGTATTACTCGTCGGCGAATGGGCATCTGGTGAAGTTGATTTTCAACAGGATGATGACCGTAGTGATATCACTACTCTTGATATGTCCTCAGTGAACTCGATATAGCTCCTGCGACGTCGTAATTCCGAAATTTGATTTCCCTTGAAAACAGTTTTCAGTGTTGGAATTTATGTTCGCTCTCCTCAGCTGATTTTGGGCGTTTCTCCCACTTATTAGAGAAGTTTGCGCAGGAATTTCGGGCAGGGGTGTACAGAAATCAACAATAATTTTCCAACTCGTGTAGTAGTTGATCATGCGCATATATACTCCGACACTGACCGCTTTCTACTACCCTCAGCTCTGGCTGGTCTAGCAGTGTTGTCATTGCGTCGTGAGGACCTCATAAGATCCGAATATTTCATTCGTATTGCTAAGGAGCTCTTCGAGAGGGGGGCGAGAGATTCCAGGAGGAGAAAGGAAAAGGACGGTCTGCGAGGCCTCTGGACGAAGGCTGTGCCGGGGGTAGTATTCTTTTGCGGTTTTAGAGAATATGTGCGCTGTCCTCAGCTGAGCTTGGGAGTTTTTGCAAACGAATTCGGCGTAGAGAATCACAGAAAACAACAGAAACTTAACGAAATTTCTCGGAAATTTTCTTGTCACCATTTCTCACTCTATCATTGTTATCAACAGAATGAAAATTCGCCCATTTCAGCAGAATGTGAGTATAGTGGAGTGTTGGAGAAACATGTGTCCGCTTCCCTCAGCTGAGCTCAGGAGGTTCCTCACTAGTTATAGAAGTTTACTTACGAATTCGGGTAGAAGTGTACAGAGAGGAATTCGCCCTGAATTTCCTATACCAAAAAGAATTTCCATGTTGTCACCAACACATGTAGTTGAGCATGCGCATATCTGTGTAGAGCATCTCACGTATGGTTGATAATTGCATTGTCTGTGCATTTTCAGTCGGCACTTCTGGTGTTTTGCGATTCTTATTCGACTGCTATCGTTCGAACAGGAATGCACTGCGAAATTGATATTTTCTGGTTGCTACTTACGTATTTGCGGACGCGAACGCAGGAGTATCGCCTCGCCGAGATCGCTAAAGGTCTGCGAATCTGCCATCGCAGAGGGTGTGTCTCTCAAGATGTCGTACACGGGATAATCGATCGAGTGATCGATTTCCTACGGGACTTCACCGCGCGAGATGTCGTCGCCTTCGTCGATGCTATTACTCGGTTTGGATGTACTGATGATGTCCATCTCACTTTCTCAAGAGTCGCCCTTGATATCGCCGCGACCGATGTGGACGGTCTCAAGCGTGCCGAAGTAGCTACGCTGATTATCGGCCTCTCAAGATTCACCGGTGATCGGATAAAGGCTCTTGATTGCGCGTGCGTGCAAAAGCTCATACGGAGGTTGAAAGAAGAGGATACGGGGGAGATGAGAAATTTTGAAGTTGTAGAAGTACCGAAATGTCTGTTGCGAAATAGTCTACTCGATGAGGTGCTATTTCAACGGTATTATGCAGCAGCCTGTGATAAAATGTGCGTTGAGGAAATGCAAGATGGCAACAGAGAGCGTATCCTGAGCATAGTAGAAGTGGTGTCTCTTTTGGTAACGTATAGTAAGGCAGGTTTCTCCCATCCGAAATTGATATGCAAACTGGGCCAAATGCTGGCGGTGACAGGCGTGGTGATGGGGTTCAATGCCGCACAGGTTTTAGCGGTATATAGAGCGATTAATCGGCTGAAAATAGCGGAGCGAAGCGATGATTGTTTTAGTATCGTTTTAGAGCAGATTAATAGATGTATATACCAGTTAGTGGCTGTGAGGGAGCTGGAGGTGTCAGAAGGCCTCGCCCTCTTGGAGGCAGGCGCTTTGCGGTTGGAGTGTGGTATGGTGCTCGCCCAGTACACGCTGGGTCGGACAGATGATGAGAAAGTTCGACATGATGTTGAAAAATTGGTTGAGGCCATCGAGAGGCCACCATAATGGATGTGTTTCTGTGTGCAAACGCTGTAGTTGAGCTTCGGATAGAAATTCCAAATTTTAACGGCTCGCAGGTGAACGAATGCATGAAATGAATCTCAATGATTCAATCATTGAAACTTTGCTCGCCGATGGCTATGATTAGCATCATCATGCCTTAGGCATACTGAGCTCTACTGAGAATTCCTCAATTCCTGAGAGCAACCAAGATGGACTTTATCGGTCGAACTCACACTGTAAATTCCGATTCCCTAAACTCTCGCAACGAAACGCAATAGAGAATTTGTGTTATAAAGCCGCGGCTCACTCGGGTGCTCTGATCTCGTCACGGCCGGTAACGGATGCATAGAAACTTTTGAAACCTTCGACTGGACCAGAACTGTTAACACGCTTCGAGGATGAGGATCTCGACGAACACTGCTCGCTCTCGAGAGTCATAGTGAACAGTACAGGATCGGAATTTACTATTTTGATCATCTGAGAAAAGAGGTATGATACTCCTGAAGCGGTCATACGAATCGCCTGCCTCTGTGGTTTCACTGATCTGATTGCATGAGGAAATAATACCTCCGAATTCGAGTCTGTAATCTTCACAATTCCATCTGGAAAAATTTCATACCAAAAAGCTTGAAATTAGATCTTTAAACAGCTCACCTCAGCCCCTCTGTGGTGCAGGACCGTACTGGACCTTCCACGGGCAACAGCCCAGCGTAATACCGATTGTTCGGTCGTACAGATTCCGGTCTGCCCAAATGTAACGAATGCTCACCAGCTGGGAGGATCTGATGGGGAACTTATAGTAAATCTGATCGCGAACAAAATCGATAGCGAAAAGAAGAATGTGCTTCAAATCGCACAGTTGGAGGTATTCACAAGAGCTGAATTCGACTCGAAGAACTCCATGACGTAATCCCACTTATGTGATGATGCACTCAATTGCCCAAAAACAGCGCGAGCATATATAAAGGGAGCCGTCAACTCACCATAGCGAGGCAATCGGGGTCGAAGAGAATCGGTCGGAACTGAGTGATAGAAATGGGCACGAGCCCGCGAAGGTGCCATAACTGTACCCTGTTTGGAAGGTGAACTGCATACTCGCCTGCACTCTCTCTAGAGCGCCCTCGAGTTGCCGTTAACAGTGAGTTCACAATGGAGAACGTATGGTCCAATCGGCCAGCATAGTTTATCGATCCAGCAACAGCCACCAAGGGGTCGACATTGTCACCTGTAGACGCATCCTTCGACTAGACAGGGGTCATCCTACTCCCGAAAAACTCATCTTGATGATTGCCGTAATGGTAGGCTGCATATAGCATGCACTTATCTAGATCGGTGTTGCACTGAGAGAATAAAATTCGGAGACATAGCTCAGATTTTGTACGACATAGCTGCCTCAGCGGGGCTCAAGGCTTCCTAGGGAAGTTCCTATTCGGTATCAGCACACGTAGTAGGTTATGTTCATATTTCTGCGATTGGTAAAATGTGAAATAAAAATCCATGAAAAAATTAAAAATAATAAATGAAATCGAATAAATTTTACTCACCTCGTCAGAGCACCTGATGACCCGAAGTGGCGAGCCGAGCTTGGAAGATTGGAAGCTCTTAATGACTTCTGGTCGTACCTGTCCATGGGAATCTTCTCAATGCACTTGAACGATTCTCGAAAAGCTCGATCGATGACCGAGATTTTCATTGGAAAATGTGATGGTGAGTAAAACGGCAATAACGCTCTTACTGAATCGAAATCCCCAATGATCACGTCGGGCACTAGCCGACCGCTGAATTGGTCGTGGAGTCTGTTGGAGCCACCATCAGCACATATACGGACCCCTGCAAATGGGCAAACATGAGCCGCTTGTTGGTCGTAATAATATACTCCTCAGAAGAGGCTCGACGATAGTGAACAAATGGGAGAGCGTACGGACGGTGACGGAGGAGGGTGAGCTAGGATGCACCCTGATCTCATCGAAACTCGGAAGAGTTAACTCCCCTATTGGAAAGGCTACAATGCTGTGATGATTGCGACTTCCGTGGAAGTTTCGTCTGAGTTCAGGAACTCAGACTTTATGGTTCGATTTATCATCAACAGACCGCTTGAGTGATTCGACACTTACCAGCGCTCTCCCATAAGTTCCTCATGACCGCCGATCTAGGCAAGGGCGAATTCAAAACGATCACGGCTAGCGGCCGGACCGACGACTTCAAGCCTGATGTACACCATAACAACTACGCCGACCAACTTCAACTATATCATTCTCAGTCGCGACGATGGCTGTTACTTACCGGTCACTGCACTTCGCTGTAGAAACGGCCAGAGTTCCCAAACGGCCATGAATAGGTATAATTCAACCCCAGGAATTGGTACCAGCACCCAACTAGCGAACCAAACAAATGGAAAATTGTAGTGAAACATGAGAAGCACCACCAAATGTGTTGAAGAATCTGCGAGGGCATGTCTCGACCTTTCCCTTCAGCTGGGCTACTCCGACGTGTTGGCGGAGTGGATTCTGCGGCTACATAGTCCTATAACGTGCGGGAACTAGCTGACAGTGTTAGAATGTTTGCTTTCCTAAGCTGAGCTCAGTGGGAGCTGTGTTTCCCCACTGGTCAAACAAGTTTACACACGAATTGGTACAAGTTGCTACGGGTAATCCCATTTATCCAGTTCACCTTCCCTGCCAGCAGCCCGCTAGCGTTTCGTCTCGACGCGCCTCCCAAAAAGATAGGTTAGCTTGAAGTTAGGAAGCTTGTTAGTGTGCAAGATTCAATCTTGAAGATTGCACTAACTTTGAGCGGATGGAGGTCGAGTACAGTTTTGGACAGTTCTGAACGATTGCCTATTCTTGCAGCGTGACACTATCGACGGCTCCTGGTGAGTTCGGACGGCTGACGAGCCGTTATACAAATTGAAACCTGAGGAAAAGACTTCACGATTTCATAGTTGTCGATAGCGCACCCCCAATGCCCAATACTCCGAGGCAACTTAACACCAGTGATAGTTCCGAATCTCATGGGTTAGGAAGTTGAGTTTCGAGGGTGGGATTTGTTGACACATAGTGCAGCTATGAAATTCCATGACCCAGAGGAATAGGAGAGGGTGGATGTGATGGTCACTGGCAGTGACTCATTGCTGAAGTGCAAGCAGCACGCTGCAGCTGATCACCTTGTCCACCAGGAGGAGGAGGAAGTTCGCCTGGATGCCCTCCAGTGCCTGGAGTCCAGTCGCCACCTTTCTCGGGCGACCTCCGCATCCTACCTACGAGTCGAGGCCCTTGACTCAAGGGGGGGGGGGGGGAAGAAAGCACGACCTGATGTTACCCCACAGGATTCACATCAATACATTCATCTTATTTGTATGTGATAAGTCTAGCGTCTATCGAAGCACTTGTGCACGCTGTGGTTTCTGCTGCGTGCTTCATTGTGCACGTTGTGTTCCTCTGTCGTCCAGGATTTCACTCTCGTCGACTCCGTACTAGGAATCACTACCACGATTGGAGTTCCGACTGCTAGGTTGTTGCGTCGCTTGTTACGATGAATGCTCTCCAATTAATTACTCGTTTGCTCTTACGTATGATTATTTCACCGTGAAACTTTGACGTCGAGGTCTACACAATCAAGACCGTGTTGCCTAATCGCTGGATCGGAGATCCTGACTCGTGTAACTAACGCGTGTATTATGCGTCGAAATGGATGGTCAAGTATCTCTGTCCTAGGGTCTTCCTGGTCCCGGATATTGAACTTGTGCAGTCTGGACTCGGAGTCCGTTTTCCTGACGGTCCTGTTCAATATCCGCGATGCAATTCTGCTCCTTCCGCTACCACGTTTCCAGGATATACAATACCATAGGGTATATAAGCAGGATTCTAACTTCCTAGTCGTACGAAGACACACTTCACATGCCCCATTGGGGCAGCCCCAACGTCATTTTCTCATGACCAGTGTTGTTTAGCCCAAGTGATATCAAGACGTGAAAGCCTGTGAGTTGAACTCGCTAGCAATTCCATCTATATTCACTTCACGTTTTAGGCGTGACGGTCACGCCTAGAATGCGAAGTAGAGGTAGCCGTGAAGCAATAAAGAGTAGGTCACTTATTGCTCTCTTATTTTAAATAAGTTATTTATCACGACATTCACGCGTTAGGGCGACTTGCCGTATCATTTATTCTCCCAAGTCCAGATCGCCTGACGAGAGGGAACAGGATGCGCAACCGCATTTTGCATTTTCAAACCATATCCTGCTAGCTAACTTAATTAACTCCACCCTTTATCACGTCCATCACGACCAATATCCGGCTCTGCTTTGAGATTGGTGAAGAGCGTAGGGGATACATGAGATGGCCTTCACATCGAACATTACGCTGGCATGCGCTAGAAACTTCCGAAAAACTGGACTGGTAAATCACCACTGATAATTAAAAACAGTAAAGGCGACTATCGGCAATTCATCGCTCGGTACTTGCCTCGTCTTTTTGGGGCTAACGGTCCTGAAATCTACGATGATTATGTGAGCTTGGTGCTAGCCGAGTCAGAAGCTCAACATGGTCGGGCTATCCGAAACTTTTTGGAGATATCATGGCGCACATCTACAGAGCACACGGTTAATATTGACAAGCTACAAGTCAGTGATGGACATATAGCTCTTGGAATCAACATGAACCTAGATCTCGACACCGGCGCCAACTGTCTATGCGTCCCAACATTATACTATGAGAGCCTCATCAAGGATATTGGAGCTCAAGCTGGCAAGGCTGCGGGTACGCATGTTGACGATGTCAACTTGACATCAAGTTCGACTCAACAGAGAATCTCTGTCAGAGATGCTATGGTCCTTCCCTTGCCAATATATAAGCAAGTTGCCACTGTTGAGGTTTGACTTGGGTTCTAAAGGCATAACTTCATTCACGGTGGCATACACGAACTATGCCAGGAATCAATATGGTATCTGTTTACTCATTCTCGCAAAGAAAGTAGAGGTGCTAAGCACCTCTACCTGGTGCTTGGACTTTCCCTGATCGTTTGCTGATTGGTAATTATTTTGAATTCTTAATATTTGTAATTATTTTTTCTGCGGTCCACGGTCTAGTGCATCATATTTACGCTTGCCGGACCCAGCTCCCCAATAAGCGTGGCTTCGGAATTTGCCCACGTGGTTGGCGGGCAGAGTTAATTGAGGAAACTTTTCCCTTGAAAATTTTCGACAAAATGAAAATAAAAATAAGAACTTCTTATTAAGAAGGAGATTCACGACTCTGAGCTTTGAATATGTACGCTAGGTCCTCAGAGAACTGAGATTGAGCTTGAGATTGCATAGTATCGATTTATTCGGTGGTCACATGACACGCAGCGGCGATGAGACTTTCGTGACAGCTGTGAACATCTCGTCAACATTGTGAGCGTCATTCGTATTGCTTGTACTAGTTCGATTCTTTGATCGGTGTTGGTAGGAGATCTGGGAGTCAGCTTCCATTAGCAAGTAATGAGGAACTTCAAACGGTGACGAACGACAATAGCATGGCCCGTCGGACAGACCAGAGGAACTGCAAGCGACAGGATGTGTGTTGCTTTCAGAACCAACCACAGAGTTCGACATCTTCCGTGTTGAAGACGTTGTCACTCCCCTACCTGACGATCCGAATATTACTGATCCGAATACACTCTTCTACCCACTACCCAAAACTATACCAACAAAGAAGGTAAGTTGACTCGGAAGACCCATTCGGGAAGCTACTGTCCATCGGATCTTGGAAAAGCCCAAGACTGCACACAGGTGCTGACGAACGTCATTGCCAATCTGGCATGCCAAGGGCGAACGGTCAAAACTCGAGCAGCTTGGGCAGACGATTTCCTATCAGCTACTAGCCAAGCCATCGTCTGCGACAGCTTTTGGTGACCAACAACACACCGTCAATGCTTCCATACTTTTTGTAGGTTTTGTATTTGTCATTACTTCAAACCTAAACTCTATCGTGCAACCGCAGTCAAGCTTTTCGACAGAATATCCGCAAACTACGTGAAGTTGTTGGACGTTATTAAGCCCAGTCGACGGGAATTCTTTTTTGAGGTGGGAACTTCCCGCACTCCAGACCACCTGAATTAGTGCTGCCCGTCACTCAGAGGTTTTACGACGCTGTGGCACAAACGGTGCTATACGGTTTGTTCTTGGCTTTCCCGAAGTCGCGGATGAGATTCAGCAACGAATTTAGGAAATCCCTTGTCTCGTTGTTCGCCTTCTGGACCACTGGTAAAGGGTCTTGAAGCTACCACCAATGTATCACAACACATGCAGTATTGTTGATGTCCGCTCGTGATGCACTATCAACAGCGTCTTTCGCTCCCCAGTGGGGAGGCCTCACCCCACGGTTAGGTGCCATTCCTGAGTTCCCAGACACCTCCCATTGGAAGCTCAATCTCGGTGGGGGCGACGTATTAGCGATGATGGCCGAGGGAAAAAGCGGCACCAGTAGGCTCTTTCAGTCAATACTGGAGGAACTAAGTTAGCTCAACTAACCCTGTCGCTGATCAGAGACCCCGATCATCCAAGAGGAGTCCCGTGAATTCGATGAGTTTCCGCCGAACTCGCAGGCAAGTGCCGTGCTGTCGATTCATCTCAGTCGCCCTTTAGAACGTCGTTGATGATGAAGCCTATGCAGCGCTGAGCCCTCAGGGAGACGACTCCGTGGCTGGCCGTGTAAAAGTGCAATTGAAGTAACGTCCCCGCCTACTTTGCCGACGCCGTCAATGTTCAACGTAGATATTCACCCTTAGTACAGCATCATCTACGAGCAAAGAAGTACAAGAGTCACGGCTCGATAGCCCCTTTACTGTAAGGCATTCGGGATTCGACGATCCAGTTATGGGCGACTCACTTTACATCCGTATTGGCTCTTCCTCTGACTAATTGTGAATATTATTCTCCATCGATCGTGTCTCCTGGAGAGACTCGCCTAGTAGAAGTGCGTTTTCGTTTATCTTATTTAGCTGACCTCATTATGACTCATAATGAGACATCTTAAATCGGGCTCACTCATAATTGTTTAGTTTGCTCGATTAAGGAGGTCCCGTTCTGGAATTAGAAGCGATGACAGTAGAAGACTCGAGCGTGCGCTAAAGGAAGGGGCCGAAGCCATAAGTACCACCAAAGAAGCTATTGGGGAATATAAACGACTCAGTGAGGCCACTGAAGGAGAATGGCCACTTTTTTGCCGTCACGTTAGCATCTGAACGTCTGAGTGGCTCAGCAGCAAATCTTTCAGGCGATCAACTGCGACAGGAGGAGAATACATTGGCCGTCGAGACAACCAAAGAGAAAAGGCGTTTGGAGGTGGCTTTGTGTTGGACACTGCATGAGAAGAGATTCCCCAACTGACATTGTTCGTCGATGACGAATCGTCATGGTTGTACTCTTTATCAATGAAGCCTCACTCGATTGATAATCATATATTTGACATAGCTTAATTCTTGTTGCCAATGGTGATGCCGAGTTTCAGGCACGTCGTAGAGATATTATGAACGCCGATGTTAGCGAGTATTCGAATTATTTAGTCAGCCTCAACACGATGGAAGACGAGGGCGAGATCTTCAATTTGGAACATTCCAAGAACTAGCATGTTACCTTTTGTAGGCGTTGTCCAGTATTTAGAAGCCCCATGTTGGGTTCCGTTAGTCAGTACCGAGAGTGCGTCCGGAAATGCTAAATAAGGCATGGGTCATGTCACATGACTCATGTGTCTAAATAAGCCAAATTCTGTCCCCAACGCATCAGACCCCTATAAAGGGCTTGCATGCTAGAGTGTCCGCGTTTGCCCGGGCCAGATTGGCCCATACATTGCCCACATTGGAAATAGAAAACTGTGAATAAGTGAGCCAAAAGCCCGTGATACTCCAGTAATACTCCAATAATACTTGAAGTTTGAATAGTAGTTGAATAACTACTATTAGGTAGCTGAATATTTCAAGTTGAAATAATAGTGATTCTCTGGTTGCTTCCATTTGTGTCAATTTCTGCTGCCGTTTCTTGGTAGCGGAAGAAATAGAACTGAGGATCTGGGCGTATATCTGCGTGAATCTGATCGCTAAGTTTTGCATCGGAGTGAGCGCCTAATACTGCTCGTCACAAGACCATTGGTCGTGATAGTGCTGGTCACAGGACGCCTCGTCGTAGTAGACAGTCTACTGTGAACTACTACTAGTAGTGCTTGTCACAGAATCACCAGTCTCACTAATCACGGGAGCAGCGCTTGTAGACTACGAGTTGTAGTAGTGCTCGACGAGCACTACTTTGATGAGCACCGTTCCTCGAAGGACGGTCCTTCAAGGACCACTGGCCAGAGTGACAGATGGGATTAGATAGTATAGTGACATCGTCTGCAAAACATAGACGCTACTGCTCTTGACGCTGCTGGGAGCCTGCTGCATGTTCATAACTCTGATATATGATCCGCAAGTATTTTGGATGTAGACCAAAACTTGCATTCGGGTTTCAGATGAACCAAGATGAATAAGCGAAAGGGAATTGATTTGAGACAGAAGTAGCTGATGATAATATCAGATAACCATGCCATCTGCGGAGGTAAAAAGATACATAGGGAGTCCCTATTAGGGACACTGTCTCCGAGACAATGATGTACACGAGACACACGCACAGGTGACACTCGTGACACGACGCAGCGAGGCTAGCAAAAATGAGAAATCTAAGGCCCGAATTGGGGTCGCAGATCAACCGGACAATCGCTGGGTTTTCGGTTTCGATCGGTAGATGGATGGCATCGTTCTGCTCGTTTGGCCGCCTAAACCGAATTAACACGCTAAATTTCCTCTTGATGGTTTTGGTTGCCGAAGCTTGCTGCCGCGATTCATCAGGTGAGCTCGAGCCGCGAGACAAAGACGTGCCACTCAGCTATATTGCGATCCAAAATATTGGTCAGAATGCGTTCTTCTATGCCCGTCCGACTGCTCGCCTTGGTTTATGTATTTGACGTGTTGGAGGTCTCCCGAGGAGCGACTCTCAAGCTTGATGTGAAGTACGAAGATATGCCTCAATACGGCCCCGGATTGTATCATACTCTGGTCGGCGAGAATGGCCAGAAGCTACATGCTCTCGTTGACACTGGATCGGGTTTCTCTTTCTTCATCTGGAAGGATTGGTACGAGAAAGCCAGTGGGCACTCCTGCAGTACTTGGCCCATGGGGTGTTACGCATGCTCGGCGCCTTGCTCGGTGGGTAAAGTTACGGGAACTGCTACTTTCGTGGACAAATACATGGTGAAATTTTTCCAGCGCAAATCGAAACTAACCATGGGTCAGGTGTCGCAGATCCTCACTTTCGGGCTGATATTCGGTCAGAAACCTCCCGTCAGTGCAGCTCCTCCGACTAACTTGTTGGGTCTTGGCTATGATGAAGGTGATGTGAACTTCCCGTCTCTGATGACGCAGTTGCGATCATCAAAAACTGTAACGAGCGGGATCATTGCTCTCTACTTATATCCTGCCGCTGATCCCATGGAAGCATCGGCTGATGGAGGCATAATTCTGGGTGGAGGTGACTCTGCATTATATGAGGGTGCATTGAGGTATGTCGACTTCTCTACCGACAAAGGGTACACGGTTAACATTGACAAGCTACAAGTCGGTGATGGACACATAACTTCTAGAATCAACATGAACCTAGATCTCGACACCGGCGCCAACAATCTATACGTCCCAATATCACACTATGACACTCTCATCAATGGTATTAAACTCAAACTGACCATGCTGCGGTTTAGTTTAACCCAATGACCGAGCAATGGTATTTTCTTTGCCCATACATGAGCAAGTTGCCACCGTTGAAGTTTTACTTTGGGGCCTCAGGGCACAACTCCATTCACGATGACAT